TGTGTGTGCAGGAGTCTGGACACAGAGAATGGCCGACACCCTGTTTCCTGGCAACTAATGGCCTGGGCCCTTCCCCCCTGCAAGGTGAGAGCTGAAGGGTTGGAGAACAAAGGAATCAGGTGACCACCTGGCCCGGGAAAGGAACAAAGCCCAGAGGAGGAGGGGCTGGAGGGGGTTTTCAGTTTGGGGCTGGCTGGGACATGGAGTGAAGTGCAGACGTGGTTGTCTGGCTCACTGCCCCCAAAATGGACCAGCTGAGGGGTCCCGTTCTCTGCACCTGCAAGCTCTGTTTTAGACCATGTTCTGTCGTCTAATAAACCTTCTGTTTTACTGGCTGGCTGAGAGTCACGTCTGACTGCGAGTTGGGGTGCAGGACCTCTGGCTTCCCAGGAGCCCGCCTGAGCGGACTCGCTGTGGGAAGGCACGGAGGGGCAGAGGATGCTGAATGCTCCGAGGTCAGACCCAGGAAGGTGGAAGCTGTGTGAGCTGCGTGTCCTGAAGACAGGCTGCTCACAGAAAGGCGACTGCCCCAGAGTCCTGACTGGCTTCATGGGGAGCAGTTCCAGAGCACGCCCAGGGACCCGTGACAACTGGTGGCAGCGGTGGGATCTACTGCACCCCGTGGATGGCGCTTCCTGCAGTAAGTGACTGGGGAGCAGTAACACGAAGGGGGATTGCCGAGGACCAGGCCTGCTGAAGGCTCAGAGAGGAGCGGTTTCGGGGGCGGTTAACCCCTGGGAGTGTGTGACCAGCGAGAAGGACTGTGCAGTAACAGGGTTCCCCTGGGGATTGCAGCGAGCAGTCCAAGGGCGGAGGAGTCTGCAGCTCGACCCTGGCAAAGAGGTGGTGACCTCGAGAAGGGCTGACACACTAGGGGTTCTCCTGGAAACCGTGGGGAGCTGAGAACACACGGGCCTGTGAGTCCACAACAACTTGGGAGGAGCGGAGTGATGGCCTGTCACCGTCTCCTTAAGAAGGACATTGTAACCCTGTGCAAAAGAGAGGGTTGAGCATTGGAAAGTTCACCAAAGCAGAGTTAATCGTGCAGCTGGAGGAGGATGACCGCTCTAAGGAACAGATTCCTGACCCCAACTGGGGCTATAGCAGGATCTGGGAGCAGCGAAGCGGGAGCCAGGCACCAAGACTCCTGTCCCCGACCAGACGGGGGTCTTCACGATCGGGTTCCCCATTGGGGGATCAAGACGGACGGGATTGGAGCTGAGAGAGCAAGAGGACTGTGAGAGACAGCGAGAGCCCGAGAAAGAGCTGCAGAAGCAGCAGCAGCATGAACTGGCGGTGGGGGAGCGGAGAGGCCTAGGGGACCTCCCAGGGGTGAGTGGGGATAGACCCCGGGGGCCAGTTCCGCAGGGAACCTCGAGACTAAATTGCTGCCCCTGGTTAAGGGGGGTGTGTGTGGATGCCACCTCACTGCCTTTGAGCAGGCTGGCGATTTGAACCAAGGGGACCCTGCGGAAAAGCCCGGTGTCTAGCTCCCTTGCTGGGTCCCAAGGCCACAGACTCGTCAGCCAGATGGTTGGGGATGTGGACAGGCTCCCACTCCTGACCCCAACCTATATGTCTGTGTGGAGTTTCCTGGGGCCAGGCCCCCGGACCTCCAGTGGGAGTAGAAGGTGATGGTCAATGGGGAGACATTCTTGGGGTGGCCAAAGGGCATGGGCTGCATAAACCTTCCCACATGCGGCCTGCGAGTGCTATCGACCACCCCTGACCTAAGGGAGGGCGTGAAACTGGAAGGGCCTGGTGTAACTCCTACCAAGGAATGGGAGAGATGCTGGGGCATCCATGGGAACGTTGGTGGCTTCGAACTTCCCCAGGTCACCGGCTAAAGTGACCCCGCTCAGTTCGATCTCGAAGGGGGAGAGATGTGACGAAGTGGGACTGTTCTTAATGTTTCCTCTGAATAGTGTGGGGGTGCCTCAGTTTCCCCTAGGCAGTTCTTAAGTATCTAGGGGGTGGAGTAAGGGTGTATGATCATTGCAGAGCCCTAGAGGGCATGTGTGCAGGAGTCTGGACACAGAGAATGGCCGACACCCTGTTTCCTGGCAACTAATGGCCTGGGCCCTTCCCCCCTGCAAGGTGAGAGCTGAAGGGTTGGAGAACAAAGGAATCAGGTGACCACCTGGCCGGGAAAGGAACAAAGCCCAGAGGAGGAGGGGCTGGAGGGGGTTTTCAGTTTGGGGCTGGCTGGGACATGGAGTGAAGTGCAGACGTGGTTGTCTGGCTCACTGCCCCCAAAATGGACCCAGCTGAGGGGTCCGTTCTCTGCACCTGCAAGCTCTGTTTTAGACCATGTTCCTGTCGTCTAATAAACCTTCTGTTTTACTGGCTGGCTGAGAGTCACGTCTGACTGCGAAGTTGGGGTGCAGGACCCTCTGGCTTCCCCAGGAGCCCCGCCTGAGCGGACTCGCTGTGGGAAGCGCACGGAGGGGCAGAGGATGCTGAATGCTCCGAGGTCAGACCCAGGAAGGTGGAAGCTGTGTGAGCTGTGTGTCCTGAAGACAGGCTGCTCACAGAAAGGCGACTGCCCCAGAGTCCTGACTGGCTTCATGGGGAGCAGTTCCAGAGCATCGCCCAGGGACTCCGTGACACCATCACCTTCCGCTCCCACTGGGGGTCCGAGGGGCCCGACCCCAGGAAACTCCACACAGACATATAGGTTGGGGTCAGGAGTGGGAGCCTGTCCACCTCCCCACCCATCTGGCTGATGGAGTCTAAGGCCTTGGGACCCAGCAAGGGAGCTAGACACGGGGGCTTTTCCGCAGGGTCCCCCTGGTTCAAATCTCCAGCCTGCTCAAAGGCAGTGGGGTGGCATCCACATCCCCCCCCTCCTTAACCAGGGGCAGCAATTTAGTCTCGAGGTTCCCTGCGGAACTGGCCCCCTGGGGTCTATCCCCACTCACCCCTGGGAGGTCCCCTAGACCTCTCTGCTCCCCCACCGCCAGTTCATGCCGCTTCTGCAGCTCTTTCTTGGGCTCTTGCTCTCTCGGACTCAGCTCCAATCCCGTCCGTCTCCGATCCCCCGATGGGGAACCCGATCGTGAAGACCCTTGTCTGGTCGGTGACAGAAGTCTTGGGGATGTCTGGCTCCCACTCCAGCTGCTCCCAGATCCTGCTATAGCCCCATTTGGGGTCAGGAATCTGTCCCTGACAGCGGTCATCCTCCTCCAGCTGCACGATGAACTGTGCCTTGGTGAACTTTCCAATGCTCAACCCTCTCTTTCTGCACAGGGTTACAATGTCCTTCTTAAGGAGACGGTGACAGGCCTTCCCAAGTTGCTGTGGACTCACAGGCCTGTGTGCTCTCAGCTCCCCATGGTCTCCAGGGAGAACCCCTCGTGTGCCAGCCCTTCTCGAGGTCACCACCTCTTTGCCAGGGTCGAGCCGCAGACTCCTCCACCCCGGGACCGCTCGCTGCAATCCCCAGGGGTACCCTGTTACTGCAAAAGTCCTTCTCTCTCCCAGGGCCAAGCTGCAGGCTCCTCCACTCCTGAGACTGCTCACCGCAGTCCCCAGGGGGACCCCATTATTGCACAGTCCTTCTCGCTGGTCACACACTCCCAGGGGTTAACTGCCCCCCGAAACCACTCCTCTCTGAGCCTTCAGCACGCCTCATCCTCGTCAGTCCCCCTTCGTTTTACTGCTCCCCAGTCACTTACTGCAGGAAGCGCCGTCCACGGGGTGCAGTACATCCCACTGCTGCCACCAGTTGTCACGGAGTCCCTGGGTGATGCTCTGGAACTGCTCCCCATGAAGCCAGTCAGGACTCTGGGGCAGTCTCCTCTCTGGGAGCAGACTGTCTTCAGGACACACAGCTCACCCGGCTCCACCTTCCTGGGTCTGACCTCGGAGCATTCAGCCTCCTCTGCCCCTCCGTGCGCTTCCCCCAGCGAGTCCACCCAGGCGGGGCTCCTGGGGAAGCCAGAGGGTCCTGCCCCCCAACTCCGCAGTCAGACGGGACTCTCAGCCAGCCAGTAAAACAGAGGTTTATTAGACGACAGGAACATGGTCTAAACCAGAGCTTGTAGGTGCAGAGAACAGGACCCCTCAGCTGGGTCCATTTTGGGGGTCAGTGAGCCAGACAACCACGTCTGCCCCTCACTCCATGTCCCAGCCAGCCCCAAACTGAAACTCCCTCCAGCCCCCCTCTCCTCTGGGCTTTGTCCCTTTCCCGGGCCAGGAGGTCACCGGATTCCTTTGTTCTCCAACCCTTTAGCTCTCACCTTGCAGGGGGGAAGGGCCCAGGCCATCAGTTGCCAGGAAACAGGGTGTCAGCCATTCTCTGTGTCCAGACCCCTGCACACACCTGCCCTCTAGGGCTCTGCAAGGATCATACACCCTTACCCCACCCCCTAGATACTCAAGAACTGCATAGGGGAAACTGAGGCACCCCCACACTATTCAGAGGAAACATTAAGAACAGTCCCGCTTCAGGGTGTAGCGGGGGTTGGTGCAGGGGGGGTGAAGCGGGGGTGCAGTGGAGACGGTGCAGTGGGGGGAAGGTGCAGTGAGGATGGTTTGGGAGAAGGTGCACTGGGGGTGCAGTGGGCTGATGGCACAGGGGAAGGTGCAGGGGGGGGTTGCAGCAGGAGTGCAGTGAGGATGGTTCGGAGTGAGGGGTCCATGTAGGGATGGCTCGGGGGAGGGGGTGCCGTGGGGGCGCAGTGAGGATGGTTTGGGGGGAAGGTGCTGTGGGGGATGTAGCGGGGGGAGTCGTGGGGGGGTCCGGCGGGACGACGCACACAGCAGACGCGTTGGGGGGGGGGGGCACGTCGGGCGGCGGGTCCCTTCCCCTCCCCTCCCCCGCCAGCGCCTCCTCCTCACGTGGCGTCTCTGTCTGTTTATCTCCCCCCCACATCGCCGCCCGGGCCCCCCGCCCCCCCCGCCCGGGCCCCCCCGTAGCCGCGCTCCGCTTGCCGCCCCCGGACGCCGCCCCCTGGTGCCTGCCTGGCGTCAATGCCGCGCCCGCCTCCTGGAGCCAGCACTAGAAGGCAGGGCGTGCTGGGAACGGGTGAGTAGCCCCCCCTGCCCTGCCCCCCCGCTGCACCCCTCCCACCCCCCCCGAAGCCCTTCACCCCATCCCACCGCTCCCCGCACCCCTCCATCCTCCCGCTGCCCCCCTGCCCTGCCCCTCCACTGCATCCCGCTTCCCCCATCCCCCCCGCAGCCCTGCACCCCCGTCCCACCCCCTCCCTGCACCCCCCCATTCTCCCACTGCCCCCCTGCCCTGCCTCCCTGCTGCACCCCACTTCCCCCTCCCATCCCCCCCACCGCAGCCCTGCACCCCCCTCCTCCTGCTGCACCCCCCCGCGTGGACCCGCCCCAGCACCTCGCCAGGCCCCCTCCGTCATCTCAGCCACATCTTACCACACAGCTGCCCCTGCCCTGCCCCGCGCACCCCTCAGCCCCCCCATCTGCCCAGCCAGGAACAAGCCCCCTCCCCATCCTTCATGTGTGGCTAAAGACACAGCCAGGCCTCGCTGGCCGCCAGGACTCCTGGGTCCCATCCTGGCTCTGGGAGGGGAGTGGGGTCTCCTGGGACACACCCCCGCCGTGCAGCCCCAACCCCCTCCCCCCACCTGATACCCCCTCCCCACCTCCTCCTGATTGTCTGACTCCCTCACACACACACCAAAGCCCCAGCCATCCCCTCAGACCCGTTCCTGTGGGTCCTGCCAAAACTCAGCCACTGGGGGGCACAGAATTTCCAGGGTGGGGGAAGGGTGAGTGGCGAGAGACACTGGCCCTTTAACTGAGCCCTGGGGTGGGGCTGGGGGGGGTTGGTGCTTCCCCAGGCCCCGCCCCTCTACTCCCAGGCCCTGCCCCTGGCTCCCAGGCCCCGCCCCTTATCCATAGGCGCCCCCTCCCCCGGCTCTCAGGCTCCGCCCCCTTCCCAGGACATTCCGCAAGCCCTGCCCCTGCTTCCCTAGACCACTCCCCCCGCCCCCCAGAATCTCAGAAGCCCCGCCCCCGGCCAGGGACTCCCCCCTACACATCCCGAGCGTTTCCCCCCCCCCCCCCGTCCATTGCTTTTTACCTGTTGCTTTTGCTCAGCCCCATCTCCATCTCCAAGGCAAATATGGGGCCAGCCCCCAGTGGGTGAATACAAGGGGTCTCTGCCTTGGGTTGGGGGGTGTTGGGATCTCCCAGGGACGATGCCTGGAACCCCTCATTGTAGTACAAGGAGTCAGCTCTGGCCCAGACCGCGGGGGACCCCTGCAGCCTGGCAGCCCCCTCAGGGTTGCTCTCACTGGGGTGAGCCCCTCAGCTTCCCGCCCCCTTGGGACCCCCCCTCAGAACCTGCACCTCCCCTCCCCAGGTCAGGCCGGGAGCACCCTGCAGCAAGTGCCCCAGGATGGGCCCCAGGGGCAGACGGACCCCCCCAGCGGGAGCCGGGCCCCCCAGCTCCGGGCTCGGGAGTGACTTGGGGAGCGGTGGGAGCGGGGAGGGGTTGGGGGTCTGGGCAGCGCGGAGAGTCCTGGGTTAGCGCCGGGAACAGAAATTACAGCCAAGGCCGGCTGAGTCGGGCCTGAGCCCCCTGACCCCTTAGTGCCAGTGGCCCCAGCAGCCCCACACGGAGCAACCCCCCCAGCCCCTCCCAGCCCTTTGTCCTCCAGCTGGTCGCACCCGGCCAGCTCCCTGCCCAGGGGGCAGCCAAGGGCGTTAGCTGCTGGGTGCCAATGGGCCAGGCAAAGGGAGGGGCCATTGTCTTGTGGGCCCCACCCTGGGCATGGCAGGGCCTGGCCCCAGCAAGCCGGCCCTGGGTCTGTGCAGCAAGAAAGGAGCCTCTTCCCCCGCCCCCCCGCCCCCCACCATGACCACGCAGTATGTGGGGAAACTGAGGCACACGCAGTCATCAAACAAAATATTATCCCAAGCCTGAAGGGAGACAAGGCTGGAGCCAGGACCAAGGGCAGGTCACATGGGTGGTGCCAGGTCTCCATATTCCTCCTGGCGGGGTCGGAGCTGGGGTTGGAGGCACCTGCTTATACCAGAGCATCTCACGGGTGGGGGGCAAGAGACGGGGTGCTGGGAATGGGGGTGGCACGGGCTAGGAGGTGCAGAGGCTAGTGGGGGAGATAGGAGGAGGGGTACATGGGGGTTAGGGGTGGGTTTCAGGGCCAGGGGGTTCAGGGAATGGGGAGACAGTGGGGGGGCACAAATGGGGGGTGCTCAGGACTCCCCTCGTATTCACCCCGGGCTGCCTCAATATTTGACCCCCCCCAATTAACGCCCCATTTCATACGTCTTGTAGGGTTCGCCCAGTGCCCCTGTAACGCCCCGGCTGCGTCAGCCAGGTACGTACCCTGCCCCGGCGCCCCGCGGGGCACCAACACCCCCCCCAAAACCTCATCTCTCTCCCCCCACCACAGCAGCCACCGTCATCACTCCAAGCAGAGCAGTGCCTCCCCCTCGCCTGTGACCCCCGACACACCCCACCAACCCAGGGCGCCCGCACTGACCGCCCGCCCCCGCTGTCCACGCAGGCTCCTGGGCCCCTTCCCTCTGTGTGCGCGGGCAAGAACCTGGCTCTGGTGAGGGGCACAGAGGCTGGGTATACGGGGACCCCTAGCACCTGGCTCTGGGGCGGAGCGCAGGGGCCCAAATTATATGGGGACCCCTCCTCCAGCTCTGAGATGTGGCTGGCGCTGGGGTGGGGTACGGGGGATGGTTATAAGGGGACCCCTCACCCGGCTGGGTATATGGTGACCCTCTCGCCTGGCACTGAGATGTGGCTGGCTCTGGGGTAGGGCGAAGGGAGTGGGGTTATACCGGGACCCCTCGACGGGGCCTGAGATGCGGCTGGCTCTGGGGTGGGGCTTCGTGGCTGTGTATACAGGGACCCTGCCCAGGAGTATGGGACAGGAAGTGTAGGGGAATCTGGTCTCCTGCCAACAGAGCTGGTTACAGGGGCGGGATTTTGGGGCCAGGCATGAGCTGGAAATGGAGGGCCCCCCCCCACACACACACACACTGGCCCAGCATCCTGGGGTAGGATTAGTGGGATGGCCCAGTAGGACACGTGTTACACGCCCCACGGCTGTGACACACGCAGCCCCTTGCGTGCATCACAGGGCACCCCCCCCAAATCCCAAGTACCTGCGCCGGCTGGCACCCCGCAAACACACCCCACCTGTACCAGGTAACACACCCTCACGCCGCCCGGGCCCTGCATGCACCCGCGGGAGATGCCGCAAGCATACGCGTGTGAGGCAGGTGGAGAACACGCACAGCCTGTGTGTCAGACATACACATAAGTCCAGGCCCTGGACACACACTCATGTACACGCATGTGTGGATGGACATGCGTGTGTGCAGTCTCATACATGCATGAGACCTGTGTTCATAGCCAGACACTCACATGCGAATCACAAGCCAACCCCGGCACATGACGGGTTCCCTCTCCGGCTCTGGGAGGGGGGTGGGGTCTAGTGGTTAGAGCAGTGGGGGCTGGGAGCCAGGACTCCTGGGTTCCATCCCTGGCTCTGGGAGGGGAGTAGGTTCTAGTGGTTAGAGCAGTGGGGGCTGGGAGCCAGGACTCCTGGGTTCCATCCCTGGCTCTGGGAGGGGAGTAGGGTCTAGTGGTTAGAGCAGTGGGGGCTGGGAGCCAGGACTCCTGGGTTCTCTCCCCAGAACTGCCATGCTCAAAGCTAAGCTGGTGCCCCTAACCCACCCCTGCCTCCAGGGATGCTGCTAAGCCCAGGGTCCAGCTGCTGGGTGGGCTGAGAGGTTCGGGGTGGGGACCCCAAGCACCCTTAGGGGCGGGGTGGCGGGGGTGAGGGGAGAAAGGGGAAGAGTTACCAAGCCAGCATTGGGCTGCTCCCAGATCAGAGCCGGGGGCCCATGCACCCTGGTATCCCCTGGCACCCCTGCCCCCCCATGCCTCACTCAGAGACCGGCACCAGCATGAGTGGGGTTGGGGGTGGGGAAGGGGTACAGAGCTCATGGGAGCTGGGGGAGGATACTTGCAATTTGGGGGATGCCCAGGGATGGGGGTGATGGGAGCTGGATTGGGGGTGAGTCAGTGGAGGTGACTGGGGGATGAACAGGTATGTGGGATGCTGTGGCTTTTTTGGGGGGTGGCCTGGTGTCATGGCGTCCCCGGGTGATGCTCTGGAACTGCCCCCTACGACCCAGCCAGGACTCGGGGGGACCCTCCTCTCTCGGAGCTACTGTCCCCAGGGCAAGACCCTGCCCCAGCTTCCCTCTTCCTGGGGCTGACCCCGGAGCCTCCAGCCTCCCCTGCCCCACCCCGCGCTTCCCGCAGCGACTCCACACAGGGGTGGGGTCCTGGGAGCGCCAGAGGGTCCTGCCCCCCGACTCCGCAGTCAGACAGGACTTTCAGCCAGCCGGGGACACATTAGCCGACAGGAGCATGGTCTAAACTAGAGCTGGTAGGTACAGAGACCAGGACCCCTCAGTCAGGTCCGTCTTGGGGGGCCAGGAGGCCTGAGCCCCATCTGGGCCTCCCTCCATTTCCCCAGCCAGCCCGAAACTGAGACTCTCCCGCCCTCCTCCGGCCGTTGTCTCTGTCCCGGGCCAGGAGGCCACCTGATCCCTTTGTTCTCCAGCCCCTTCAGTTGGCACCTTGCTGCGGGGGGGCCCAGGCCATCAGCTGCCAGGAGACGGGGTCTCGGCCATTCTCTGTGCAGACCCCATCACACTGGCCCTCTAGGGTTCTGCGACAATCACACCCCCTTATCCCCCCACCTAGATACTTAAGAACTGCCTAGGGGAAACTGAGGCACTCACACCCTATTCAGAGAGAACATTAAGAACAGTCCCACTTTGCCACACCTAGGTGTTGCGGGGGGGGGGGGAAGAGGGGTCCTGTGGGCCAGAGGCTGCCTCGGGTGTGGGGTGCTGTGGATTAGAGAGGGTGCTGTGAGTTGGGGGTGCTCAGGGCATGGGGCAAAGTGGGAGTGTGAGTCCGTGACAAGGTGTAGTGCTGTGGGTTGGGGGATAACAGGGTGGTGGTTTCTGTGGGTCGGGGGGGCTGTGGGTTGGGGGATAACAGGGTGGTGGTTTCTGTGGGTCGGGGGTGCCGTGGGTTGGGGGATAACAGGCTGGAGGTTGCCATGGGTCAGGGGTGCCGTGGGTCGGGAGATAGGCTGGGGGTTTCCATGGATCGGGGGTGCAGTGGGTCAGAGGATAACAGGGTGGGGGTTGCTGTGGGTCAGGGGTGCCATGGGTTGGGGGATAACAGGCTGGTGGTTTCCGTGGGTTGGGGGTGCTGTGGGTCAGGGGACAACAGGCCTGGGGTTTCCGTGGCTCGGGGGATAACACACTGGTGGTTTCCGTGGGTTGGGGAACAACAGGCTGGGGGTTGCCGTGGGTGCCGTGGGTCGGGGGAGAACAGGCCTGGGGTTGCCGTGGGTCGGGGGTGCCGTGGGTCGGGGGAGAACAGGCCTGGGGGTGCCGTGGGTCGGGGGGGCGGGTGCCTCGCCCCCACTCACCTCCCCTCTCTCTCTCTCTCTCCCCCCACCGGTGCCCCCTGAAGGTTATGAGAAGTCCCGGAGTCTGAACAGCATCGCGGGACTGCGCCTCTCGCCCGCCCCCAGCCCCCTGGGCTCGCCCGGCGCCCCCCGGCGCCCCCGCCCCCCGCTCCCCTCCATCCTATAGCCCGGGGGCCGCGGACTCCGCCCCCCCCGACTTTTTAAGCAAAAAAGAAGAACAAGCAAAAGAACAAGGCAGAAGAGAGGAGGCGTCGCCGGGGGCAACCGGGGGCTTCGTCGCCAGGGGCAACCGGGGGGCTTCGTCGCCAGGGGCAACGTGGGTCCCGTCCCCCCTTCGGCTTCTACAGGACACGCTACACGGCACTTTCTGGAACATCCATGAGTTACGCCCCTGACCCCTCCTGGAGCAGGACGCCTGGGTCCCTCCGGGGAGGGGCCTGGCCTGGGGCTGGGGGGGTAGAGTTTATATTTTTTGGCAGGAGGGAGGTTTGCTCTGAGAATCCAAATACTGTGCGGGGGGGTCAGCAAGGGACAGAGACGGGGGGTCCCGGAGCCCCCTGCCCCACGCTGCACCTCTGGGTCCTTCAGTCCATTCCCTCCAGCTGTATCTGTCTGTCTGTGCTCATCAACACCCCTCCGTCTGTCTGTCTGTCCCCGGACACCCCCCTCTGGCTGTCTGTCTGTCCTCATCAACACTCCTCTGTCTGTCTGTCTGTCCCCATACACCCCTCTCCATCTGTCTGTCTGTCCCTGTATGCTCCCCTCTGACTGTCTGCCCCTATACACACCCCTCCGACTGTCTGTCTGTCCCCAGACACCCCCCTCCGGCTGTCTGTCCCCATACACCCCGCTCCATCTGTCTGTCTGTCCCTGTACGCTCCCTCTGACTGCCTGCCCCTATACACACCCCTCCGACTGTCTGTCTGTCCTCATCAACACCCCTCCATCTGTCTGTCTGTCCCCGGACACCCCCCCTCCGGCTGTCTGTCCCCGTACACACCGCTCCAACTGTTTGTCTCCATACACCCCCCTCCAGCTGTCTGTCCTCATCAACACCTCTCCAGCTGTCTGTCCTCATCAACACCCCTCCAGCTGTCTGTCTGTCCTCATCAACACCTCTCCGACTGTCTGTCTGTCTGTCCCCATACACACTCCTCTGACTGTCTGTCTTCATCAGCACCCCTCTGACTGTCTGTCCTCATTAACCGCCCTCTGGCTATCTGTCCCCATACACCCCCCTCCGACTCTCTGTCCCCGTACACTCCTCTGCGGCTGTCTGTCTGTCCTCATCAACCCCCCCTCCAGCTGTCTCCATACACATCCCTACGTCTCTCTGTCCCCATACACACCCCTCCAGCTGTCTGTCTGTCCCCATACACACCCCATCCCCCTGTCTGCCCCCATATGCACCATTCCGTCCGTCCACCCCTGTGTGCGCCTGTCTGTCTGTCTGTTCCCCCCCCCCATCTGGTTTCTGGACTCACAGACTCTGCTCCTTTGAGGGACCCCCCCCCCACTGCCGGACCCCCCGCCCGCTTGGTTCTCTCCTGCATGGATCTTCCATGGATCACACAAGCAATAAGCTACATGCTGGCCTCTCCGGCTGCATGCCGCCGGGCCCGGGACGCAGGCACTTTGCGGACCGTCGGGTCGGACGGACGGACGGACGGACGGAGGAGCGCCGGTGAGGGGGGGGCAGCCGGCTCCCACCTTCCTCCTCCTCTTCCTCCCCTGCCTGGCTTCCGGCTGCCCCGGGGTCATGCCCCCCGTCCTGGCGCGGCCCGTCACTGTGATCCCCACCCCGGCTGCGCCCCGGGGCCGGTACCAGTGGAACCGAGGGCCCCAGCGGCCGGAGGTGGGACCGGCGTGTGTGTGTGGTGGGGGGGGTCCCCCCCTGCGGGAGCAGGATCGGGACCGGACCCCCCACCCCCGCCCGGAGCTGATCTCCAAGTTGCATTGTGCCAGCCAGCATGTGTCTGCATGTGAATCCGCTCGTGTTATATGCAAAACTCCCCTCCCCACGCCCCCCCGGCCCGAGGGGGGGGAGGGCACTGGACCTCCCCCAGCCCTGGGTCTCCTCCCCTTTAGCGCCCGGTTTGCCCTCCTCCCCTGCGGGAAGGGGGGATAGCGAGAGGGGACACGGTGGTGGTGGGGGGGACTGTGGGGGGCCATTGGAGGTGGGGGCACAGCTCTGCCCCCCCCCACGTGGCCCTGCTCTTCCTCACTCAGTTCCCCCCCCACCGGAGACCCCCACAACCTCCACCTACGCAAACTAGGCCTCAAAGTGGTTGGAGCCCCCCACCCCCACCCGCAGCAGCTGCATGGCCTAGGGCTGGGGAGAGTCTGCCCCCCCCGATATGTCACCCCCCACCCCTTTGCAGGGTGGACAACCCCCCACCAGGAAATTCATCTGTCACACTATGCAACATCACCCCGTCTGAGCCGGGGGGCGGGGTCTCCTGGGGGGGAGCCCCCTCAATTCCAGCCCCTTCCCGCCATTGCTCTGAGAGACCCCCCCCGACCCCCCCACCGGTCTCTTGCCCCCCCCCAGCAGATACCAGAAGCTTCTTATGCAACAATTCCTATGCAAAATGAAAGCGATTCTCTCGCGAGTTAGCGGGGGCAGGGGGGGTCTGGCTTTGCTCCCACCCCAGAGAAGCGGATGGGGGGGGGAAGGCTGGGGGGAGGGGATTCCCCTGTAGTGCTGCCCCCACCCCACCCCTGTCCCTGCCCACTGCTGAGGGCAGCTAATGGGTCATATTGACCGAAGGCCCCCCCCAGCCTGGCTGGCTTCCCCCCCCCCCGGCTCCGAGCCCCCCCACCAGGGTGGGGAATGTGGGTGCCTCGCCCAGCCCCTCATGTGGGGGGAGATGCTACTTAAAGGGGGGGCAAGGCCTGTCTACCGCCTCCCCCAGGTGCATGGTATGGGGGGGTTCCAATTAATTTAAAATAAGCCTCCGCATAAACACTTGCCCCCCCCCGTGTCTGACCCTCCTCATCCATTGCTGGGGTGGGGGGCTAATCTTTTTCTGTGGTTCCCCCCCACACACACACATATCGCACTTTAAACACCCCCCCTTGGGAATGTCAGCTCCTCGCTTCATATATTGGGGGGGGGGGTTATAGGTCACCCCCCTGGCCTTGTGGAGCTGCCCCCCCCATTGCACTGAGCTGGGGGGGAAATAAAATCAAGGCCGGGGGGGCGGTGCTGGCTCCTTGATTAAATTATCTCCCGGGGGGGGTCCCTGATTTAAGAACCGGGGGGGGGGGGAGCTGAGCCCTGCAGCTGTGGGGAGCCCCACAGAGGACAGGGTTGACAATGTCTTCCAGCAACTACAGGGAGTTTTAGACTCAGGAAGGGGGGGCCTGGGGGTGGTCCAGCCCCCCGGGGAGGGGCAGGAGGCAGGGAAAAGTGCAAAGTGGGGGGATGGGCAGGTGGGGGGGCCGGGGGGGGCACAGGTCTATTTTTTCAAGCAGATGTTTAATAAAATGCAGAATCGCGACATTATTTTTTCATAGAAACAAGCCCCCCCGGCCCCCCCCAGCTGTGAGCACCGCAGGGCATGAGCCATGTGGCTGGGGGAGAGACACACTCCTGCCCCCCCCGGACGCCTGGGTCCCATCGCCCCATATTTCCTGCTCCCCCCCACCCCTTCCCATCCCGGGGCAGGTCCTGGCCCCAACCCCACAAGTGTGCCAAATTTGTGAGTTGTGATGGGGGGGGGGGGAAATAGCTGGATGACGTGTAATTCCGGACCCCTCGCCTGTGCCCCCCCATGTGCCATGTCTCTCCCCCCCTTGCTCCAGCCCTCCTCCATCTCTCATCCCTCCCCACCCGTCTCGGCGGCCCCAGGCATGTGTTGGTACCAGCCCCCCCCCCCGCAATTCACATCCCCGGGGGGGGTCTCCCTAGTGCTGCCCCCCCCACACAAAGCAATAATACTGCCCCAGCAGCGTCCTGAGCGGGGTGGGGGGCAGGTCTGGGGGGGGCAGGACCTGGCTGAGCTCCGAGCCCCAGTGGGTTCCCCCCATCCCATGAGCCAGCAGGACCCAGGGTGACCCCCCCTCCCAACTCAGCCAAGGCCTTGAGCCGAGGGACCGCCCCCCCATATCCTGCCTCCCCCCGCATCCATCTGTCCTTCAACCCCCTGCCCCCCCAGCCTGCCTGCCCCCCCCTCCTTCGTCCAGCCACCCCATCTTCCAGGCCCCCCATAACCTTCCTTCCACCCCCCCTTCCTGCCACATATCGACCCCCCCGCCACCAGCCCCTCCCCCCGATCCTCCCCAGCAAGTCTTCCTCCCCCCCCACCTCTGGGGGGGCATCCTTCACCCCCCCCCTGCTCCCGTTCAACTCTGGTGCTACGCGACCCCTGGGGGGGGCCTGGTGTTGCCCCCCCCGGCCCGCCAGGACTCCCCCACCCAAGCACTCAGGGCTGGGGGGGGGGGCTGAGCAGCTCCTGGGGGGGGGTTGTGCTTTTGTTGCTGTTTCTTTTCTCTCCCCTGTTATCTGTCCCCCCCCATGTCCCCTCCCCGGTCTCTGCCTGCCGGGGGGGCGGGGGGGGGGGTCCGGGGGCTGCATGATCGGTCAGGCCAGGACTTTACAGCATGAAATAAACGAATCCTTTTCATGGAAACCTTTCACCCCGCGTGGGCAGCGCCTGCTTCTGACCAGCGCCGGGGGGGGGAGAATTGGGGGGCACCCCCATACACTGTGCCAGGGAAACAGGGCCCAGAGCAGGCCCCCCCATGCCCCATTCCCCCCCAGCCACCCAGTCCCCTGTCCTAGGGCTGGCTGGGAATCCCCCCCCCAAAAGGAACACCCCCCCCGTCTCTGGGCCCTTTAGGGGCTCCAGCTTCTTTCTTGGGGTGGGGGCAGGCAACTGCCAGTGGTGGGGGTGGCGTGGGGGCCCTGAGCCTAAGGGGGAGGGGGAAATAGCAGAATTGGGCAACCACTTGCCAGCCCCACCCCAAGCTGGGCCTCCCCAGGCACTGCCCCCCCACCCACATAGTCTGAGAACCCCAAAAGTCCCCCAGCCAACTGTCACCCACCCAAACCCTGCCCCATTGAGAGGCACCGGGGGTCTAGCAAACATGGGGCCGGGGGGGCAGGGCCACGCTGGCAGGGGGCTGCAGGTCGGGAGTGAGGGGCACCGGCAAAGCTGGGGGGAGCCCAGGGCTGGGGGGAACCCGGGGCTGCGGATCGGGAGTGAGGGGCACCGGCAGAGCTGGGGTGGGGGGAGCCCAGGGCCAGGCTGGCAGGGAGCTGTGGGTCAGGAGTGAGGGGCACCGGCAGAGCTGGGAGGTGGGGTCTGCGGGGTGGGAGTGATGCCGCCCACCCCAGCTTGCTCTGCCGCCAACCCCCCCATTTCTCTGCTCCTCCATCCATCCAGCCCCTTTGTTAGCGAATTAATTTGGTTAATTTCGAGCCCCTAATTAGGCTCTGTCCCCTGCAGCCGCGCTGGGCAGGAGGGGGGCTCCGGGCTCCTGTCCCAGGCCTGGCGCTGGGGAGCTGGGCTGGGAGCCAGGCCCACAGCTGGGGCTGGGCCGGATCTGCCAGCCCCCGGCCGGATCCTGGCAGCTCAAAGGCGCCCAGCTGGCAGAACCAGCCTCAAGCACCAGGCCCATGACCCTGCCCAGCTCCGAGCCCCCGGCCCCTTCCCCAGCAGCCCTGAGCCCACACAGCCTGGTCTCGACCCACCGCCAGGCGGGGACTGACCCTCGGTACAAGTAGGACAGGACAGAGAACCCCGGAGTCCCGGCTCCCAGCCCCCCCTGCTCTAATCACCAGCCCCCCTCCCTCCCCGAGCCAGGGAGAGAACCCCGGAGTCCTGGCTCCCAGTCCCCCCTGCTCTAATCACCAGACCCCCTCCCTCCCCGAGCCAGGGAGAGAACCCCGGAGTCCTGGCTCCCAGCCCCCCCTGCTCTAAGCACTAGACCCTCCTCCCCTCCCAGGGCCAGGACTCCAGAGAACCCAGGAGTCCGGAGCGGGGCTGGGGTGGAATTCTCTCAGTTCTCCATTTTCGCTCTATTTCAGTCCTTCCAGACCCAGTTTAGCTGGGTTGTAGCTAATTAATTCTCCTGGCCCATTGGGCGTGGGGGTGGTAGTAATGAGCTGCTGCTCAGCCCCCGGGGAGGGGAAGCTGGCAGGGGCTGCCCTCCTTTCTATCCTCCGCCACAACCAGTATGAGCCCCCTGCACGAGTTGGCAGCCCCCAGCCCTGCCGGTGCCCCTCACTCCTGACCCACAGCCCCCTGCTAGCCCAGCCCTGGGCTCCCCTCCCCCATGGCTGGGGCTGTGGTGGAGGGGGGGTGTCTTCCCTGGTGGCTCCAATGCCCCCATTCATGCTGCAGGCCGCAGTGGCTGAGGGGGGTCGCGTTGGTGGCAGGACTGGGATGGCCGGGCCCCACGGAGGGGCTGGAGCCGAGGTCAACGTTTGGGTGATGCCAGGGCTGGTCTTGGATCAGGGAGAGCCTGTGACTCCCCCACGGCAGCTGGATTCTCCCCTCTCCTGCCAGGGGGCCTCTGTGGGGCTGGGGCAGCCTGGCAAAGGCCCTGGAGGAGACAAACACAGAGCAACACCTGGGCGAGCAGGGGGCTGTGGGTCGGGAGTGAGGGGCACTGGCAGGGCTGGGGGGGCCCAGGGCTGGGCTGGCAGGGGGCTGCGGGTCAGGAGTGAGGGGCACCGGCAGGGCTGGGGGGGCCCAGGGCCGGGCTGGCAGGGGGCTGTGGGTCGGGAGTGAGGGGCAGCAGCCCAGCTGTATGGGGGCAGGGCAGGGGGGGCCATGTTCCAGGCTGGCCCAGCCCCCCATCTGTCTGTCCCTGCCGGGGGGGGGAGGGAGCAGCTGCCTGCATTTTGCTATAAATAGGTCGTGTCCCGGGGGCCGCAGCTGGTTACATAAGGGAGCCGCCGAGGGGCTGCGTGGCTCAAAATAGCCCCCGCTGGGGGGGGGAACCACACGCGGCCTAGATTCTCCCTATCAGGGCAGGGGAGGGGAAATGATGAAGCCCCCCACCCCCCCACACACAAAGGCCACAGACCAACAATGACCCGCAGGAGGAGTACTAGAACCCAGGAGTCCAGGCCTTCTCTGCCCCCTCCTACCCCCAACACCCAGCGGGCCCCCCCACCCGAGACAGCGACCCCGGCCCCCATCTCCCTGAGGAGGGGGAGGGGGACATGGGGCTCTGGCTGAGGCAGATGGGGGCAGACCGAAGAAATTCCCTTCCCTGGATGGGGGGGGGGGGCTGGCGCCCCCTAGATGGGAAATACCCCCCCACACACACACGTGACATGCTCAGGGAGGGGTCACAGGCCATGAAGCAGATGCTGCAAACTCCTCAGAAGTGGACAAGGGGCCTCCCGCTGTAGCTTCGGTAGAGAACCCAGGAGTCCTGGCTCCCACCCCTCCCCGCTGTAACCACTAGACCCCACTCCCCTCCCAGAGCTGGGCAGAGAACCCAGGAGTCCTGGCTCCCAGCCCCCCAGCCCCAATTAGGAAAGATACAAGCCATTTGGTAAACATGAGTTTTTAATGTACATTACAAAGGAAGCAGGAGGGGCAGGGCCCCCCAGGACAGCAGCCCTTAGGGGGGGTGTCAGTGTCTGGGGAGCAGTAGGGACCCCCCAGCCCCTTGGGGTCTGTACATTGCAGAAAGCAGCGAGCCTCAGGGCAGCAATGGGGGAGCCCCAGGGCTGGGGTGAACAGCAGCTGGGCCGGGGGGAGGGCAGGGGATGGACCTGCAGGGGAACCAGGAGTCCTGGTTCCCAGGCTGCCCCCCACTTCCACTCACAGGCAACTCGGGGCACCCCCCAAGGCCACGAGAATATGGGAGTCACCCCACCTACTACTCCCCCATATGGCATGAGGGTCAGGCCCAGCCCCCCCGAAGGTCATGGCCCGGGGAAGTGGGGTGATGGTGTTTGAAGGACCCCCTCCCCTCGCCAGAACCAGGGCTAGAACCCAGGAGTCCGGGCTTGGGGAGGGGGCCAGGGCTCAGAACCCAGGAGTCCGAGTTCGCGGGGCCGGGAGCAGAACCCAGTGCACCCTGGGAACAAGGTCTGGCCCCGACACCCCCTCCCCGGGCACAATGGGACCCCCGATCCCTGTTAAAGTGCTGGTTTGAACAGCCGGCAGGGGTGGACGGACCCCAGCGTCCGGCTCAGGGCAGGTGGCTCTGGGCCATGGCGGGCTCCTCGGGGGGCAGGATCTCGATGCTGCTGTCGGGCCGGGGGGGCGAGACGCTGCCCGTCAGCTCCAGTCCCGGGGCCTGGACGGAAGAGAGGGGCTGGGGGGGAGTGGCTGGGGGGCTGCCCCCCGCGGGACCCCCCAGCCCCAGAAGCTCCTGCACGTTCCGTGGCAGCTCCTGTGGGGAGAGCAAGGTCACCGGGGGCTGGGACACGGGGCAAGGGACTGGCTGGCTTGGGGTGGGGGCAGAATGAGACATGGGGGCGGCCAGGACTGGGGGGGGCACTCACCAGACTGGGGGTGTGGGAGGTAGGCTGAGGGGGCACTGGGGAACAGGCGGGGGGTCTGGTTGTGGGGTGGGGGTATTGGGGGAGCAGGCAGGGGGGCAGGGGGTACTCATGGGACTCAGGGTGTGAGAGGCAGGCTGTGGGGGCACTGGGGGGCAGGTCAGGGATAGGGGGCTGGCTGGGGGGACGGGGGGCACTCACGGGGCTGGGGGTGTGGGAGGCAGGCTGCGGGGGCACTGGGGGGCAGGTGGAGGATGGGGAGCTGGCTGGGGGGAGGGGGGGGGCACTCACGGGGCTGGGGGTGTAGGAGGCAGGCTGCGGGGGCACTGGGGGGCAGGTGGGGGGCAGGCGGGGGGCACTCACAGGGCTGGGGGAGGCAGGCTGCGAGGGCACTGGAGGGCAGGTGGGGGGCACTCACAGGGCTGGGGGAGGCAGGCTGCGGGGGCACTGGGGGGCAGGTGAGGGGCAGGTGGGGGGCACTCACGGGGCTGGGGGTGTGGAAGGCAGGCTGCAGGGGCACTGGGGGGCAGGTGAGGGGCAGGTGGGGGGCACTCACAGGGCTGGGGGTGTAGGAGGCAGGCTGCGGGGGCACTGGGGGGCAAGTGGGGAGCAGGTGGGGGGCACTCACGGGGCTGGGGGTGTGGGAGGCAGGCTGCAGGGGCACTGGGGGGCAGGGGGGGGCACTCACGGGGCTGGGGGTGTGGGGGCAGGTGCAGGGGCACTGGGGGGCAGGTGGGGGGCACTCACGGGGCTGGGGGTGTGGGAGGCAGGCTGCAGG